ACATGTGCTCCAGGTTTATAGTCCTAGTCAAGCTGAGACACAGCACATGTGCTCCAGGTTTATAGTCCTAGTCAAGCTGAGACACAGCACATGTGCTCCAGTTTTTTATGGATTATAAAAACCTCGTCATATGTGTATAGTATTGGCAATCCTTAATAAGCAGGATGACTGCAAAGAAAAAAAAACTGATTAAAGATGGCGTAAAGAAAAACAAGTATATTTGAACTGATTATCTCTTACAGACTAGCTGATCGGTATAGCCTCGAGCGCTTATAACACTAAAATTCGGGATTCTATCCCTATGGTGGGCACGGTGCAGAGTCTAATGTACAGCTTTGCAGTTAAACATTTAAACCTTAAAACTACTTGTTCTGGTGTCCGTCTATTGGACGATTATAAAGAAAACCCCAAATTTAAAACGATTATATGTTATAAACTTCTCGTTCACAAGTTTTATTTAGAAATATTGGAAGATGTTTTATGTATCCGCACATCTTGGCGATTCTGAAATGATGCTAGTAAAACACGTTCGTTTGAAAAACCAAACAGCCGAAGCCTTATGTTAGGGTTATGAAATATGTTAATATATTTATTCGCCCTTTATTATCTGTGTATACGGTATCTATCTCTGACGAGACCATATATTTCTGTATTCCCGCCTATCCGTATGAATAGTACGATTCGTAGTCACGTAATTCCAATCTCCTAAACAAAAGGGGGATAAAAGGCTTAAAAGCACAGATCTTAAATCGGTTATTGAAATTCCTAGATGGCGCTACCATATCCTCCTACGTGTATGTATGACGTATCCGCGAAAATGGCATATAGAGGGGGCGGTGCATTAATCATCTGTTTCCTTGTTAAAATGAATTGATTTGAATCAGATAAGATCTCAGAAGTGGCCTTTTTGTTGGTGATTTATCTGTCGTTGCTTCAGTGGGTGATGGGGGAGATGGTGTAATGCTGGTTGACCAACGCGCAAGTAATTCTCCTAATTGAATTTAAGAAAAAATTTCAGTGAAACTTTGGGGTTTAGATAAAACTATATAGAGCGGTACGTTTTGGATCCAAGAATATTGATATTTTCTCTCTGCGTGTGTATAAATAGAGGGATTTATATACACACACAATGCTTCTAACTGCTCCTATAAACAGGATTTTAGTTTTTACACTTGTGGGCCGGGCTGCGTATCGGAAGGTTCGAGGTAGTGTTACGCCACTGAACATGCTCCGTATTCTCAGCTATGGCTATTTTATAAAAGTTATAGTTTAATAACACAGGCCTGCTAATTTAAAACTTCATAAAATTTGTTTTGGTTTTAATAACAGATTTTCCATAATTCAGCTTCGCAGATTTCGAAAATAATAATAATATTTTTTTTTCATCACGTAAGGATTTTTTACAAATCGGGAAGAAGAAAACTGTTACTTAAATCAAATTATTATTTCGTTTACCACAATGAACCTTTTTATTATTATTATGTTTATTAACAGAAATACAAACAAACTGAAGAAAAGGGGAAGAACATTGATGTCAAACGAATATACACCTTCATTCATTCTGATTATTTTGTGTGAAATCTACATCTTTTAGTCTCAAAATTACGTTTTGTGATCTTTCGTTTATCTATTGCGTTATGACGTTTTTGTGAAAAAACTGCACGCGATGGAG